TAATAAGAACCATTAATTTAAATATTTCCACCTTCCTACCCACAATTCCCGATATTTCTATACCAATCTGTTTCCAGAATTCATTAACTAACGGACAGTCCTACCATATATGACCGTACGTGCACATCACTCCACATTTCCTCCAACAATTCTTACTTCCAGATTTTGTAATATGATATAACCTTACAGGTGTGTAATACCATTTTTGTACCAACTTCAACTCTTGTTCCTGGATTATCCTAGAGGTCGCAACAAAGGGTGGTTGCCGAAAGATTCTTTCCCAATCTTCATCTAAAATCTGTTCCTGAATATCTAGTTTCCAATATTATTTCAAACTTTCCTTTCTCTTTGTCTAATAACACGTTATAAAATTTTGAAACTATTCTAGCCCTATCTGTCCTATATCCTTTCACTAATTCTTCAAAGGGTGTAATAATTCCTTTTCTGCGTTTTTTAACTTCTTCCTTTAGCAGAAATTTGTCTTTTCCGTAACCAATGAATCTTATTCCAAGTACCACAATCCTGTTCCATCGTACCTTCTGTTCCCCAGCTCTTCTCCATCTCCTCTGTTGTGATCTCCTTTAATTTATCCCCTACCTCCTTTGGGATGAGCTCCCTTAACAGGGCCATTTTATCATAATACCACATTTTGGTAAGGGGAGAGAGGCCAGGAAAAAGCTCCCTTCTCCGCTTCTCCCATACCCAGATGGACCCCGTAAATGTTAATATTTTATCTACTTCCTTTTTCCTTTTCCTCCTATCGAATATTCTTATTTTCCCTCCTACTACTTCCAAATTCTCCTGCTCATCCTGCGGGATGACTACTAGTCATGAGAGTTAACTACTACCTCCAGGTTCAGAGGAAGCATGCTTCCTAATACCAGTTTTTGGGGAGCAGTGCAGGAGAGGATTACTGCCGTTGTGTTCTGTTTGTAGACAAGGCATATGGGTGATCTCTGGGGAACCAGGATTCAGGACTAGATAGGCTGAGTACCAGTTGCTGGAAACTAAGATGGGGGAAGTGTTCTTGTATTCAGTTCCTGCTTGCAGGTTTCCCACAGGCATCAGGTTGGCCACTGTGAGAACAGGATGCTGGACTACATGGGCCATTGGCCTGATCCAGCTTGGTACTCTGATGTGCTATGGCTTCATGTTTTTCTAAACAGTTTGCAGTTACAGTGTGATCACAACTTACACAGGGGTTATGTTCTGGGGCTGACGTGTATACACAAAAATGGGTGTACTCAAACTGCCTCCTTGAAACCATCTCTGTGTGAACACAGAAAGGGCCTTGTCCCCCAAGTGGAAATGACACAGAAAGTGCTTTTAAGCTCTCTGTCTTGTTTGCATTTAACTTACAGAATTTCAACCAGATGACCTTCAATTACATATGGTTGAAATTGCATGAGTGAAATGCATACAACATGCAGTGGTACTGTATGCCTAAGTCTGCAGTCACTGTACAAAGTTGTTGTTGTTGTTGTTGTTTAGTCGTTTAGTCATGTCCGACTCTTTGTGACCCCATGGACCAGAGCACGCCAGGCACTTCTGTCTTCCACTGCCTCCCGCAGTTTGGTCAAACTCATGCTAGTAGCTTCGAAGACACTGTCCATCCACCTCGCCCTCTGTCGTCCCCTTCTCCTTGTGCCCTCCATCTTTCCCAACATCAGGGTCTTTTCCAGGGAGTCTTCTCTTCTCATGAGGTGGCCAAAGTATTGGAGCCTCAGCTTCAGGATCTGTCCTTCCAGTGAGCACTCAGGGCTGATTTCCTTCAGAATGGAGAGGTTTGATCTTCTTGCAGTCCATGGGACTCTCAAGAGTCTCCTCCAGCACCATAATTCAAAAGCATCAATTCTTCGGCGATCAGCCTTCTTTATGGTCCAGCTCTCACTTCCATACATCACTACTGGGAAAACCATGGCTTTTACTATACGGACCTTTGTTGGCAAGGTGATGTCTCTACTTTTTAAGATGCTGTCTAGGTTTGTCATTGCTTTTCTCACAAGAAGCAGGCGTCTCTTAATTTCGTGGCTGCTGTCACCATCTGCAGTGATCATGGAGCCCAAGAAAGTAAAATCTCCCACTGCCTCCATTTCTTCCCCTTCTATTTGCCAGGAGGTGATGGGACCAGTGGCCATGATCTTCGTTTTTTTGATGTTGAGCTTCAGACCATATTTTGCGCTCTCCTCTTTCACCCTCATTAAAAGGTTCTTTAATTCCTCCTCACTTTCTGCCATCAAGGTTGTGTCATCTGCATATCTGAGGTTGTTGATATTTCTTCCGGCAATCTTAATTCCAGCTTGGGATTCATCCAGCCCAGCCTTTCGCATGATGTATTCTGCATATAAGTTAAATAAGCAAGGAGACAAAATACAGCCTTGTCGTACTCCTTTCCCAATTTTGAACCAATCAGTTGTTCCATATCCAGTTCTAACTGTAGCTTCTTGTCCCACATAGAGATTTCTCAGGAGACAGATGAGGTGATCAGGCACTCCCATTTCTTTAAGAACTTGCCATAGTTTGCTGTGGTCGACACAGTCAAAGGCTTTTGCATAATCAATGAAGCAGAAGTAGATGTCTTTCTGGAACTCTAGCTTTCTCCATAATCCAGCGCATGTTTGCAATTTGGTCTCTGGTTCCTCTGCCTCTTCTAAATCCAGCTTGCACTTCTGGGAGTTCTTGGTCCACATACTGCTTGAGCCTTCCTTGTAGAATTTTAAGCATAACCTTGCTAGCGTGTGAAATGAGTGCAATTGTGCAGTAGTTGGAGCATTCTTTGGCACTGCCCTTCTTTGGGATTGGGATGTAGACTGATCTTCTCCAATCCTCTGGCCACTGCTGAGTTTTCCAAACTTGCTGGCATATTGAGTGTAGCACCTTAACAGCATCATCTTTTAAAATTTTAAATAGTTCAGCTGGAATACCATCACTTCCACTGGCCTTGTTATTTGCAGGTGCTTTCTAAGGCCCATTTGACTTCACTCTCCAGGATGTCTGGCTCAAGGTCAGCAACTACACTACCTGGGGTGTACGAGACATCCATATCTTTCTGGTATAATTCCTCTGTGTATTCTTGCCACCTCTTCTTGATGTCTTCTGCTTCTGTTAGGTCCTTACCACTTTTGTCCTTTATTATGGTAATCTTTCAACGAAATGTCCCTTTCATATCCAATTTTCTTGAACAGATCTCGGGTTCTTCCCATTCTGTTGTTTTCCTCTATTTCTTTGCATTTCTCGTTTAAGAAGGCCTTCTTGTCTCTCCTTGCTATTTTTTGGAAATCTGCATTCAATTTCCTGTATCTTTCTCTATCTCCCTCGCATTTTGCTTGCCTTCTCTCCCCTGCTATTTGTAAGGCCTCATTGGACAGCCACTTGGCTTTCTTGCATTTCCTTTTCATTGGGATGGTTTTAGTTGCTGCCTCCTGTATAATGTTGCGAGCCTCCATCCATAGTTCTTCAGGCACTCTGTCCACCAAATCTAAATCCTTAAACCTGTTCCTCACTTCCACTGTGTATTCATAAGGGATTTGATTTAGATTGTATCTTACCGGCCCAGTGGTTTTTCCTACTTTCTTCAGTTTAAGCTTGAATTTTGCTATAAGAAGCTGATGATCTGAGCCACAGTCAGCTCCAGGTCTTGTTTTTGCTGACTGTATAGAGCTTCTCCATCTTTGGCTGCAGAGAATATAATCAATCTGATTTCGATGCTGCCCATCTGGTGATGTCCACGTGTAGAGTCGTCTCTTGTGTTGTTGGAAAAGAGTGTTTGTGATGATCAGCTTGTTCTCTTGACAGAACTCTATTAGCCTTTGCCCTGCTTCGTTTTGCTCTCCAAGGCCAAACTTGCCAGTTGTTCCTTTTATCTCTTGATTCCCTACTTTAGCATTCCAATCCCCTATAATGAGAAGAACATCCTTCTTTGGTGTCACTTCTATAAGGTGTTGTAAGTCTTCATAGAACTGGTCAATTTCAGTTTCTTCAGCACCAGTAGTTGGTGCATAAACTTGGATTACTGTGATGTTAAAAGGTCTGCCTTGGAGTCGTATCGAGATCATTCTATCATTTTTGAGATTGCATCCCAGTACAGCTTTCGCCACTCTTTTGTTGACTATGAGGGCCACTCCACTTCTTTTGCGGGTTTCTTGCCCACAGTAGTAGGTATGATGGTCATCCGAACTGAATTCACCCATTCCCGTCCATTTTAGTTCACTGATGCCCAGGATGTCAATATTTATTCTTGCCATCTCATTTTTTACCACATCCAACTTACCCAGGTTCATGGTTCTTACATTCCAGGTTCCTATGCAATATTTTTCTTTACAGCATTGGACTTTCCTTTCGCTTCTAGGCATATCCGCAACTGAGCGTCCTTTCGGCTTTAGCCCAGCCGCTTCATCAGCTCTGGATCTACTTGTACTTGTCCTCCGCTCTTCCCCAGTAGCATGTTGGATGCCTTCCGACCTGAGGGGCTCATCTTCCAGCATCATAACTTTTATATGCCTGCTGTCTTTGTCCATGGAGTTTTCTTGGCAGGGGTACTGGAGTGGCTTGCCGGTTCCTCTTCTAGGTGGATCACGTTTGGTCAAACTCTCCACTATGACCTGTTCATCTTGGGTGCCCTGCTCGGCATAGTTCATAGCTTCTCTGAGTTCTTCAAGCCCCTTCGCCACGGCAAGGCAGGGCTGTACAAAGTAGGTCAGTTTAATTCCATATAGTCGTCAAAGAGCTCAATATAAAGGACTGCACTCTTGTACTGTGTTCAGTAATCTGGAAGGTTTGCTTATTTACCATATTTTAACTACCCTGATTAGGAACAAAGCAGAGTTGTTGAATATTGTTAAGAGGTTGTTAAACCAATTTAAGTAACTATGTTTTTATAGTATAGAAACAGCCGAACATGTGCCCAAGTAAACACTTTGATTTTTTTGTATTTTTTACTGCAGTGAATGGATTTGTTGATGTTGCATCTCTCTTAATTTTGTCTTACTTACCTTTATTAGTCCAGTTACAACCCAGGGATCACAACAGACACAGCAACCACAGAAGCATTATGGCATTACCTCACCTATCAGTTTAGCTGCCCCCAAGGAGATTGACTGTGTTCTTACTCAGAAATTAATTGAAACCCTAAAACCCTTTGGTGTCTTCGAAGAGGAGGAGGAACTGCAACGCAGGTAAATAAGACATTTATTGATACATAATATACTGTGGAGAGGTGACAATCCATACTGGGGTTATGGAATCACAATACATTGAAAATAGATCTTCAAATTATTTCAGGTCCCAGTAATAGAAATGCTATACAATTCTGAACAATAGCTCGATATTCCATTAAAGTGTGTCTTTTAATTTGTGCATGAATCCAAGTTTCTGGAATGTCTAGTGTTCATTGATGGGTTATTGTTGCAGCATAGTTGTTTCTGCACAGCCAGCTCCCATGTCATGCTGGTAACATCCAGGAATTGCATAGCACAGGTGAATGACATGATTACCTTCTGTGTCAGCAATGTGTCAATAACACAATAATCTATTCTAAGCTGTATGCAGTGTGAAGTGGGAATTGCATTAATTTTTGTAAACCACTCCTGAAATGTTTTAGTTTTACTTACTGCTTGGAACCTCCCTTTCCTTCCTGTGGAAATCCCTAAGGCACTAACAAAACGGAGGGGGGATTTGTACTCACAAATATTTGTGTGAGAGGGTATCATAGAAATAGTAGTACATAATATTTTCAACAAGTGGGACTGCAACAGAATGATGCAGCATATCGTCCCTCCTGAAAGCAGTGCTCCTGTTCTGAGTTCCAGTCAACCATTACCCCTAAGCCAAGGACATTCCACCTTTCTTCTCCACATGCCCCCCCTTCTCTCTCTCCCTCCCATTTACTGTTCCATGTTTAATTTCCCTCAGACACTCTACATTCTGTGATGACAGCATGTTTAGTCCTCATTGGGTTGTTGAAAAAGGGTGGCCCTGTCATTTCCCCCCATATATATTGTACTTCCAAAAGTCTCAAATACAAAATTGTGCTTTTATTTCCCTCTTGTTTCTCAGTGTCACATTTTAGTTACAATTCTAACAGTGTTCACCACCTGAGTTTACTAGTAAAAGAAATAATAGACAACTATGGACTTTGGTATGGGAAAGAATAGAGCATTAAAAAATGATGCAGTTGTGTGAAATTTTATAAATGAAATCTTAACTGTATCCAGTAATTTTGGTTTGGGGGTTCTTGTAGGCTCTTCTCACTCAGTAGCAGTTAAAAAATTGGGGAAATGCTGAGTATTTATCAAAATTCCAGACAGGTGTTTTATCTTTATAGTAAAGATAAAATACTGCAAGACTTTGAGCTGTATATGGTTCTGAATTTTGCTGCTTAATGTTTGAAGGAAGGCATTATTTTGTGAACAGACCATATCAGGTATGTCCCGTCTCCATCGTCGTCCCCCGCCTGCCCACTCTGCCAGCATATGGTGGGGGAGACAAGGAAGCCTTAGTAATTTGGAACCCTTGTCTTCCAAATACTATTTGGCCAGTATTGTAGCTTACTCTAACCACTAAGCTTGTGTAGGCAAGACCTTTAGCTTCTTGGATTAGTGCATGGAACCCAGCTATAAAAGTAGGTGCCAAATATTCCACGGATGAAAATACTTTCCTCCAAATATCTATTAAATTATAATTTGAAATAGTGGTTTAATTGATAAAGTTTTGAAAGACCTGGTTCAAATACTAGCTCAACTATGACACACTTTTGTTGACCTTGGGCCACTTATCTCGGCTAATCTGCTTTGCAAGTGCAATGCCCAAAGGCCCCTGTTATTGTGTCTTTAACTCAGTTTGTTCTGCATCTGTTAGCTGCTGGTGGTTATCTCCATTTCTTGGAAAGCTTCACTGGTGGGTTTCTGCAGCTCAAGCTGCTGTGAAAGGCACAAGAGCAGGTTAGGCCATTTTTTTCTGGTTGCCATCCTTGTTGGGCAGCTGCTGTGAGGAATATATGTGATCATGTATGCCTCACCCTATTCCTTTGAGAAATGGTGGGGTATAAATTAAATAAAATCAATAATTTCTGGACTAGCTTTGACAAATTACTTGAAACATTCTCCAGCTCCTCTGCTACACTCTTAGTTCTCTTTTCTGTGATAGGGAGTTTTAAGTGCCTTAACCCAATTTCTTCTTTGTGTGTAATTTATTAATGTGTTCCATCAACAGAATTCTAATTTTGGGGAAACTAAATAACCTAGTAAAGGAATGGATACGGGAAATCAGTGAAATTAAGGTATGAATTTCTTTATTCATGTAGATGTACATTAAGACTTGTATCTTTAGCTGCAGCAGAATGTTAAAGCCACTGCCTTTGGCATTTAGCAATTGACATCAGTGGGAGAAAGATTATTTTATTTGTGATCCTTTAACACAGTCTTGCATACATCGATACTTAGCTGTTAAGCAGCCAAATATGATGTTTAATTAGATTTGTAGAATATGCAGTTTAATGAGTGTCTGCTGCATCAAGCTTAAGCAACTGAGTGTTTCTGTTGATAAAACTAGCAGGATTCTATAGTGTGACAGCAAATTCTCATAGTGGCTTAGCAATGATAACTAGCTAACTTTCTGCCCTTACCTCTTATCAGTGTGCCACAACTGAAATAAGCTCCTATCAGTAAGCTTGAAGCCAGCGTCTAGGGTTTGAAGTGTGCTGATATTTCACTGGTTCTGCATTGCTTATAAAAATTCAAATCCTGTGTTTGCTCCCTTTTAGAATCTTCCACAGTCTGTAATAGAAAACGTTGGAGGGAAAATTTTTACATTTGGATCATACAGATTAGGTGTACATACAAAAGGTAATGTGTCCCTGATATGTACCTAATATTTTATACATTTATAAAATATGTTTGCTTAGTGCTTAGTTGGTAGCCAATAGAAGTATAAAAATTCACTAAAGAGCCTATAAAAACTTTTACGATTCTGCTGCAAGTGACATCAATGACTGGCTTGGACAGGAGACTTGCCCTCACACAAACATGTGATTAGGAAAGGATGATCACTAAGGGCTGTACCATAGCAATCATAGCAACAACTGGTTTCTGTGACTAGCCATACTTCCAAAGCACAACGGTCTCATAGGTAGTTCTGTCTACATCATTTAATGTGATTTCATTAAAATTAATTATTTTAATGTTATTACATTGAAATAAATTACGGTTTTTGCACCACCACAGTTCAGTAGAATGCTACTCCTGAAATGCAGTCCTAGGACAGCAAAAGGAGCTCATCTTAAGATGAGGGAATGCCCCTCCTCAGTTGGACACATTTTGATAGCAACTCATTTGTGTTTGTGGGGGGCTACTATAGGTGCTGGTATAATATTAGATACATTTTTAAAATGAACTTAGAATGAATTAAATTCTGATTAAATATTAAAAGCCTCTGCAGACACACAGAAACTGCTAGGATCTGATGCTAAAATAAAAGTATGCCGGGACCTGACACTTGATGGTGGCAGGGTAGGTGTTGGTATTAATGCAACAGAGCTCTCTGCCCTTCCACAGCACACCTGTGCCTTGCAAGGCAATGAGATTAAAAGAATATTTCTGCCTTGTGTAGTTCAGGCCAGTCAGAACTAGAGAGGATGGTACTGTCCTTCAGTATATATTATTGTTTGTCAGGAGTAGAGTTGGGGCTGCCTTTTCTTGGTGGCCATTGTATACTTTATGTAATCTTTAGTTGTCTGGTGCACTAATGAATTTATTTGCATTCATGTTTAATGCAATATGGCCTAATTGCCACTCCATAATGAAAATATCCTCAACCAGTGTCTGCTGCAGGCAGGTAATAAATTAAGAGTGAGGAGATATGAGAGTTTTTAACTTGCATGCTGTGCTACCTCTGGTATAGATAAGAAGCCTAGCATTGAAGCTCCATTTTAGTTTCATATAAACTATTGAAAATTGTGAACTATATTTGCTTATATTAAAAAAACACTGCTGCTTTCCAAAAGTAGCTTCAGTGCAAAACAATAAGTCAACTAAGTTAAATTGAGCCTTGTTTTAACTTATATTTCCATTATCAATTATCTCTTTGTAAGTTGAGGATCATACTTTTGGTGGTTGATTTCAAATGGTAGATTTCTTGAAGTGGAAGTTGCTGTACATACTGAGTGAAAGAATGTACAGTCGCACCTTGGTTGATGAACGGAATCCATTCTGGAAGTCTGTTTGACTTCTGAAACCATTCAAAAACCAAGGTGCGGCTTTAATTGGCTGCAGGAGCTTCCTGCAATCAATCGGAAGCTGCATCGGAAGTTGGGTTCCAAAGAATGTTTGCAAACCGGAACACTCCCCAGGTTTGCAGCATTCAGGAGCCAAAATGTTTGAGTCGCAAGGCGTTCCTCAACCAAGGTATGACTGTATTTCAATATGATACTACCATTTTTAAGCGCAGTATTTAAAAGAATCCTGTGCTGCAATAATTTCTGTTCAAAACGATACCATTGCACTGTTGCCTCTTTTCTGGTAGGCTTTATGTGGTAACTAACTCTGTTTATTCACGCTTCTTTTAGGTGCTGATATTGATGCATTGTGTGTTGCACCAAGGCATGTTGACAGGAGTGATTTTTTCACCTCGTTTTATGAAAAACTGAAACTACAGGAAGAAGTAAAAGACCTACGGGTATGTGAATTACTCTATCTAAAGAAAGACATAAGTCCCCAAAGCGTTACGATAATTGTACATTAAGAACTGAGTTGATTATAGGCTGTTTTAAATAAGCATAATGTTTCAGTGATGTTGGAAGGTTATTGTAATATCTATTTCTATATTGGAATCCAATTTCTGATAGAATTGCTTGTTTTTGTAAATTCTGGTTGACGTAGAATTAGAGTTGAATGGAATAAAAAAGCTATCCTAGCCAGGCCCTTAAATAGTTCCTGTTGAAGATCTGGTATGAGTACTAGTCATTGTAAAATATTTATTTTTCAGGCTGTTGAAGAAGCATTTGTTCCTGTTATCAAACTATGTTTTGATGGAATAGAGGTAAGAGTAATTAAGACAGCTTTTGCACCACCATCTGTTCACATAGTCCACCGTCTAGTCACATAGTCCACACTGAGGCCATCCTCACATGGAAGTTATTTGTATGAACAGTTGCTTCCTTTTAAGGGACATATACCATGCAACGGTAACTTGCTTTTTAGTGACTGCTCAAAAAATGCTACTTTAGTCATGGAAATTGTGGCATCCATTTAAGATTCTATTTCAGATATTAATATTGTGCAGCTTGAAACAGTAGGGTGTATAAAAATTGACCCCACTTGGAATAAAGTATCCAGACCCATCCACACATACAGTCCCCAGCACACACAGAAAGATGTGTGTAGTAGCTCATTCACAATTCATTGCAGTCCCAAAATGTTTGCATGTGGTCTATTGCCAAGTGTGAAGTGAGACAATGTTACTGATTAAATGCATTCTTCCCGTTGCTGCACACTAAAATGCTTCCCCAATTTGTCAACAATATGTCTTACATGGTATGTAATACCTTTGTAAGAAAAAGATCATGCTGCAATTAGCTGCTGTCTTTTGTGTTGTTGCTGCTGCTGCTGCCCCCCACCATTAGTCTCATGCATGCACAACAGGTCAAGGGAACTCCAGGGTTCAAGTGGGCAGCCTAGCCAAGTGAGCCGACAGGCAGGTGGTCAAGTAGAGCAAGTGAGCAGACCGGCTTTCACACACTCCCTGTTGTCACTATTACCGTGATAGAGGGTGAAAGTCTTTCTCCACTTAGTCCACCACCACCAGTAGGGAGCTTGCATTTCAAAATGCATGACTGTTGGTTGCAGAGCATGGTGAAGGAGCAAAAGACTTTCCTCTTTCCCCTTTTTTCTCTGAGTGATGACAGCAGCAGGATCTTAGGATTTGGGTGAGCTGCTAGAGAAGGTGAAGTTTGGGGCAAGCAGCGAAGGAATGGGGATTGGGCAATGGTGGGAGTAAAGGGTAGGCACGGGTGGGGTTTGAAGGAGCTGGCAGCTTGGCAGGTGAAATGTAATTGGAAGGAGGGCAGCAGTCCCGAGTTCATTAATATGATCACTGGCTATACAAACTGAGAAACTAAGTAGCGCTGTCTCTACAAAGTACATTTTGTGGACTTCTTTAAAAAAACAACAACAGTTCATAGACTTAATTATTAGCATAACAATGGAATGATAACATACTTCCCTTCTTTGTTCTTGCTTGTTTTAGATTGATATATTGTTTGCCCGATTAGCACTTCAGACTATTCCTGAAGACCTAGACCTTCGAGATGATAGTCTTCTTAAAAATTTAGACATTAGATGCATACGAAGTCTTAATGGTAAGTTATGTTATAATTTCATTTGGTATTCTTTTTTATAATTGAGAAGACAGCTTTTTTGAAACTTCATACAAATACCTTCTGTGGCAACAGAAGATACTGCATATTTCAGTATTGCATAATAGTTGTTCAGTATACATTGATTAAAAGTGTAATAATTGTTAAAGTGGCTGTCAAAACACTGTTTAGAGGTAGTTTTAATGACATTATTGCACACTGCAAGGATCTGAATTCTGCTGACCTTCCTTTGCAAAGATAATTAGTCTGTTCAGTGTTAACCATAGACAGAATTAAGGTTGATTGATGTAAAAGCGTGTATGTTTTCCCATTCCTTAATATGGCTTGAGGCAAACATACATATCAATCTATGCAATTTCAGCTCTTAATTTTGTTCAGTTACAAAGTATCTGAATTTGTTCTTAAATCAGATAGTTCATTTAATCTGTTTGGGTTGTATCTAAGAGTTGTCACTCAGCTGTCATAGAAATTGAGAGGAAAGCAATCTTGGGGATCCCCTGCACCCCTCTCTTCTTATATCTGTGTCCCTCCCAGTTCCACTGATGGAAGCCTTACTGTCAGCTAAGCAAAACGGCTAGATATAACCCTGTGTATCCCAGTCCCACAAACAATTTGAGATAACAGAAAGTAGTGCAATAATTTGCAATGAGAGTCAAGCAAGGGCTTAACAAAGGCATAAATTCTCATTGATGTGGAATGGTGGAGGTGCTTGATGTGACACAGAAATGCAGAATTGGCTGTAACTATGCCTTACTGTGACAATTGTATATGCTGAACTACCATCTTTGAGGTTATAGTATAGCACAATATTATATTGTGATCTTAGGTTTTTGTTGTGCTTGTTGAAGAGAGAACCTTTATTGTGCATAGCTTTGTATTGGTTAGGCTAAAAAATAATTAGGCTAAAAAAGACCCCTCTTCTGAAAAAAGCAAAGTAATCCCAAAACTCTCCAGTTTTGTCTAATGTCTTTTCTTTAATATTCATGATGGGAAAATGGTTTCTGTTTTCTAGGTTGCAGAGTAACCGATGAAATTCTCCATCTAGTACCAAATATTGACAATTTCAGATTAACACTGAGAGCTATCAAACTATGGGCTAAACGTAAGTGGGGCTTTACAAAATGGATTTTTAAGAAATGCTTATATCCAGTTGAATGAAAGTGACTAAAGTTGTCTTGTCTTTTATCTCTACAACAACAGGGCACAACATCTATTCCAATATACTAGGTTTCCTTGGTGGAGTTTCCTGGGCTATGCTAGTAGCAAGAACTTGCCAGCTTTATCCAAATGCAATAGCATCAACTCTTGTACATAAATTTTTCTTGGTATTTTCTAAATGGTATGTCTTTTTAGATTACACTAAAATAAAATTTATTATAGACCCTGAATTTTAGTGTTGTTTCTATGACATTCCTTCAGATGGTGTCAGGTTAACAAGTGTACTCATAGGAATATTAATCACCCTTCTGAGAAATTGCAAGACACTTGTCAGGTTTTATTTTATAGTCCTCGGTGCAAAACATCTACTTACATTATGTGAGGCACTTAAACACATGAGCTCTTGTGGAGCTCTGGCCTTTTTGTGTGGCTCTATCCATTTTAGGGCTAATTGAGCAAAGGGTCACAGACGGCATTCATACCTAGTCTGAACGGGTTGGTGTGTTAAAATGGGGACTCTTTAAGGTGAACAGCATTTGCCAGTTCATATTTGATATGATTGTGCTACATGTTTAGGGGAATATCTGGGATAAGTGAACTACCTGTCTTCTAAAGCACAAAAAATATTTTGCATAACTGGAATTATTTCCATATACAAGAATTAACAAATTTCTGCATGTGCTCTCATATAGAGATGAGATTTCAAATTAAAAGTGCAGAGTTCATTGCACAACACATGCTAGCTGCCCATCATCTGAAACCTTCTTGGAACCTTTGAAGATTTGATTTTTCTAATGTTAATTTGCTGAATTGGATTGATAGTAGCACCTTGGCTGATGTGCTGCTGCATGGTTTCTCTAGGAAAAACTGATATGTTTGGGGGAGCTGTGCCTGTAAGAATACTAAATTTAAAATGTACATTGCACCGATGCACTATTGGTACACAAGGTTTCAATAAATAATCTGGTTGTTTAACCTGTTCCAAATACTTCTAAGGCCTAAGACAAATGGGTAGCATAGTGTGTGTGGAGTATAATCTAGAGTGGCACTTCAAACTTGCAATAAGGTTAGCTTCTTAAAAAGCATAACTTTTTATGGACAGAATAGCTGACGCATTGAAGATACCGTTTTTTAAAAAATTAATACTTCCTATCAGTCCTAGGATCAGTTTGCACATAACACCAGTGTCCAAGTGGCAGGGGGTCTCTTAAGCAAAGACACAATTTATAGGGAGACATTCTACATGCATTTGCCAAATTATGTGGAGTGTCCATACTATTGGTATCTTGCTGCTGTCTGTTGTTACCCATCGTGGACATGAGGAATGAGGTGGATTCCAAATGTTAAAATAATGTTCCCCATAAAGATTTCTAGCATACCAATAGCCCTAAAGAAGTATGCCCTAAAGGTGTATCCATTTGAAGATGAATGGCTAAAAACCAAACCTTAAGCATTTGTCAGTTAAGTGCTATGAAAGTTGTTTGGATTGAAGGGAATAAAACAAAATTCATTCCTTAAGAAAGCTGGTTAGGCAGTTTTCTTTGAAAGAAGCTTCGTCTGATGCTGCGTCTGGTGTATAAAATGAAGGCTCACATTCAAACATGCTTGCTTGTTGTTATAAATAAGTGCTTTTCTTACTCAGTGCTACAATCTCTCTAAACAGGGAATGGCCAAATCCAGTGCTATTGAAACAGCCAGAAGAATGCAATCTTAATTTGCCTGTATGGGACCCAAGGGTTAGTGTATTATTTTTTCCCCCTATAAGATCAATCTGCTTAAAACAAATTGCTTAAGCCCTAAGGAATCTACCTTTGTTACAAATACAAATACTGGTTAGTTTTACAGCACTTCTATACTTTCTCTGTAAAATGTAGGCTGTCACTTAATTTTGTCCCAAGTTTTTACTTGAAGCCTTCTCCTCCCCCCACCCCCCTTTTTGGCCTCAGGATTTCTCTTTTTTGCTGTAAAATTCCCCAAATGCACAGTCTTAAAAATGTGAATACAGTGGTAACTCCGGTTACGGAAGGGATTCATTCCGGAGGTCCGGTCGGATCCCGAGGTGTCCGCAACCTGGGGACCGCTTCTGCGCATGCGCAGACTGCTTCTGCACATGTGCGTGGGGCAAAACCCAGTAAAATATTTCCAGGTTTTCTGTGCACGCATCCCGAAGTTTATGTAACCAGAGGGTTACATAAACGGAGATTCGACTATACTTAAATTGGGTATTGCATCCATTTATTCACTCTATGATTTCTGTGATGACCATAGAAAGTTGGGCCAGTACTGTACACTTATGCCATAGGTGACTACTCTGTAGGCAGGTGTTTATACTAAACTAAGAATAGTAAGTAGCTTTTTGCCATGAGTTTTTTCCATTTTTCATTTAGAAAACTCAAGTTACTTTCACGGGATTCCCAGTAATCTTCTATCTGGCACTGATTAGGGCCACATCTCCTTAATTTCAGCAGTACTATAGGATTACTTGCTCCTGGGCTCCTGCAAGAATTACACGTCATGTATTATAAAATAGGGTATTTTTCTCCCTATTGAATGTGGCTATCACAATCGAGTTCTGGGCTTGCTGAAACCCAGTTGGATATCAGAATTGTGACTACACAGTGCGTGGAATCGGAGCCTGTTGGTTGACCAACACAAGCAAAAATTGGTGTATATGAAGACTGTACAGTTCATTTTCAATAAAAAGTTTACTTTAATAAAAGCCCACATCAGATGTTATGATTGTTTTTTGCCTTGTTATCCTTTGGCATATGAGCAGTATGTAATACAAGTCCTTTGTACTCCAGTAGCTAAAGAAAACCATGTAAGGAAATGGTAAGGGTTCAACTTAAAATAATTACAACTTTAAAAGTATTGACATGCATCTGCACGTTTCCTTCCTTCATCAAACATACTGTTCTAAATAAAGGATATGTTAAACACATTTGATCCTGTTGGGTGCTTAGTTTTTTGTTTTACTTTTTTGAATTGGCCTCTTCTGACAACTAATATACAACAGGGGAAAAATGCACTACATATTTCAAAAGGGTTGCAGACCGTAGTGTGCCTGGTAATAAAGTTCTTCATGTATCAGTTAGGTATCACTCCAGTTTCATAATTATAGACAGGCTAGCATTCAGTACAGGTGCAATTGGAAAACAGATAATTAAGTTTAATCTGCTCTTAAAAATATGTCACTTTTCCTGAGTTTGAAGTAGGCTGCCAGTATTAATTACCTCACTGACGTCACTAGTGGTATATAACATAGGGATTTTTTTTTCAATGGACAGATCCACATTTTTTAACTTAAATGTGATTGAAGAAAACTGATTGGCTGTTATTATATGTAGGTAAACCCCAGTGATAGGTACCATCTTATGCCTATAATTACACCAGCATACCCCCAGCAGAACTCTACCTACAATGTGTCCGTTTCTACACGTATGGTGATGGTTGAAGAATTTAAGCAAGGTAAGGAATTCTGAACATCTATTCCCAAAAGAATGAAAATAACCCTCCTCAGATTGTGTGTGTTGATAGTTTGGATCCAGGCATTGTGCTAATGCTTATCTAGTAGCTTTTTCTAATTTGTAAAGGCTTTTAGAAATAGCATTTCCAAACTAATTGGAAAGCAGCAATTCTTAAGTGTGGCTTCTTATCCAGCTTCAGCTTTTCTGTGTATTGCAGTAGCCCAGTACTCTCTTTGCTTACAGCAGCTGGGAATAAATATATGGTAGTTTGGATATACTGGGGGAAAAATGGGTTCTTGGAAACTTGTTCCACTGGTAAAATGCTGGTCAGAAAGGATGCTTAAGACAGTTTTAGTACCTGGAAAGATGGTGTTGTATCGTAATTATTTTAGCCACAATTGAACACGAGATGCACAACTTGTTGTTTAAACACCAATTGTACATAGCCCGTATAAATGAGGTGTTTTTTATTTAAAAGTATTTATTTGTTTGCTGCCCTGGGCTCCTTTGGATGGAAGGGCTGGTAATAATTTGAATAAATAAGTAAATAGTTCAGTGATACTATTCATAATGTCCCGGGTTCAATTCCCACCACTTCCTATTTAATTTTTTTTTTCCCATTTGGAAAGATCAAGGCAGAGAAAGACGCTTCGGTCTGAAACTTTAAATAAACTGTAGTTGGTTATTTCTTAGTACAGAGTTGTACACCACCATCTAACTTAAATTATGAACAAACTTTCAAATTTATCTCCTTATGGGTCAGGCTGATAGCTCAGGGATACAGCACTTTCTTTGCATGTAAAAGGTTCCAGGTTCAGGATCTATCATTTCCAGGTAGGGTTGGAAAGCTTTGAGGGCTACTAGGCAGTCAGAGGTGACATTGCTGACCTAGGTAGGCTAATGGTCTGACTCATTTGGCTTTCATTGGGTAGCTATATTTTCATTTATATGCTCTTAACTCCTTGTGTTCAGTAAACTGTTGTTCCGATGAAGAAGATAATATATGAAAAGACTGAAATGTGTTTTTATAATTCAGGTCTTGCTATCACAGATGAAATTTTGCTGAGTAAGGCAGAGTGGTCCAAACTTTTTGAAGCTCCAAACTTCTTTCAAAAATACAAGTATGTATTTTATGGCATGAAAGATGTTTTATGAGTATCTATTTTAACACTTTCACACTAATTTAAGCTGGCTAACTTGACTAGCAATAGTTATAGTGGACAGATGTGATGACCCTGTTTTGCACGACATTGATCAAATTTTACCTAAATATGATGGGACATGTATGCAATTTCATTTGAATGTAAGATATTTGTGGCTTCTAATCATTTACTAGTAAAACACTTTTTAAAAGTTACCCACTAAATGCAAGCACTCTCTTCTGGAGGATTTCTTGAGACTTGCCAGGTATTTTAAGGGTTCCTAATAAGAAGAAAGCTTCTTGACTGTTTCTTGTATTTGGGTGAAAGTTGTAACATAGTTTATTTTATTTATTTTTAAACTCACCTTATTTGCCCTTGGTTAAAACTGGTCAGATGCCCACACCAAGCTGAAACTTAAACATTTTCTGTATTGGGTGGTTATGTATTAAACTAAACAAAATGACAATGCAGCTTTTCACCCATTAAAAGAAGACTGATGATCATGATCATGCGTCTGTGTTTTGATTCCTCTAACTTTGCATTACAAATGCTAGAATCTTATACAGATTTTGGAAGGCTAATCCACTTTGTGTCAAAATGGAAAATGAGCATGCACACCTCTGGTATTTCAAGGAATATTGAAGATGTTTCTCTTAACACCTCATTTTGACAAAGTGGAAGGAATGCTAGGACTAATTTATCATGAAGTAAACCTTTCTTATCCATCAGTTATAAATGATATGAGTGTCTCAATTGTCATAGGTTTCTTAATTCAGGTGCTGCATAGATTAAAAAAAACCAAAAACTAATTGCAGTAGGTTTTCTGACCATCAAGGAAGAAAAATGGATTTGGTATACATTTAGTGTTGTCCAGATTTTGAAATTGAAAGGTTGGATAACTAGGTCATGAATACTTTGCCCAAAACATAATATTCAGTCTTCTCCCTGTCTGGTTCCTATATGTGTTGTCACTTATATAGCAATATAAGCAGAAATTTCATTACAAAACAGGTATACGTGAAAGAAGTTATGTTAAAATCCATGATATTAATTTGAGAAGATGTCTTAGGATCCTCCTGCCGGTGCCAAATCACCTTTTTGTCTTCCAGTCGATGCATGAAAGATTAGCATACACACATTATTAAATATTAATTTCCTTCGGTAAAAAAAACCATATTGTGAGAAAATGAAATAAAGTAGCCTCTAAGTATGTTTGGGGGTTAAAAACAGAGATCTAGTTGCCAGACCAGTATGATCAGTGGCTGTAAAAAGAAGGCTAATGAGTCAAATGCAAAATGTTGATGACTAGGCATTCAGTCAGGAAAGGGAAGCCTGTGGCATTCCAGAGATTGCTAGACTATGGCTCCCATCATCCCTGATCATTAGCATTGGAGGCTGGAACTAATGGGAATTGCTGTCTAAGAACATCTGGAGGATCAGTGGTTTCCCATCCCATCTATCCATTAAATTAAGGCAGCAAATAGCAGGCCAGCTAACAATTTCCATCAAGGAAAATATTTGTAATGACATGATATGCTATGATATATGATAAATCCATGTCCCTGACTCTTGACACCATTCAAAAGGTCGGAATCCAGAGAGTTCCTTTAGCAATGCCCAAGAGCTTGTGTATACCAGTGGCACTCTGGACAACAGCTCCCCTTGCAGTAAAGGATGAACAAGAACTAGTCTGTTTTTCCTCAATTGATTCACCAAAAAATTCAGAATAGGAATTTCTAGATGTCGCCATATGATCACTTTAGAAAGGTCTGCTTAAAACAAAACAAAAAAACCTTTGGGTTCGTAATTACTCTAGTAATTATTCTGTAGACTTACTAAGACATTTATATACTGCTTAATTATTCACATTTCTAAGCTGTGTACATAAAACCAATCCACAGAAAATGGGTCAATAAAGCAGTACAAATTAATCAAAGAACTAAGTACAATCCTAAAATGCCTGCTGGAACAAGAAAGTCTTAAGCCTTGCGCTCTCAAGTTCAGCAAGGAGGGTAGCCTGTCTAATCTCAGTTCAGAGGGAGTTCCACAGTCTTGGATAATGGTTTGATAAATCTTGGGTTGTAGAGTTGGAAGGAGACCCTGAGGTCATCGAGTCCAACCCCCTGCAATGCAGGAATCTCAACTAGATCATACATGGCAGGTGACCATCCAACCTCTGCTTTAAAACATCCAAGGAAGGAGAGTCCTCCACCTCTCGTGGGAGTCTAGTTATAAAAATTTGAAGCCCCAGCCCTGACTACAGTGTTGGACTCCAGCTGAAAAACCTACATGCCAACTAATAAGAAATCCAACTGTATTGCTTGTCAGAGTTGTCTGCACTTCTACAAATTATGCTGACTGCAATCTAATCGTCAATAAACTGTTGTGCACACTAGATCCATAATTTATCTAGATCAGATTTTTTTGATCAAGGTGTTTGGTAGCTACACATGGAGCTAAGTAAACCATGCTTGTTCTCCAAATGCCAATTTCTCGTCTGTGTGCTCACAGAAACCAGCTAAAGCTTAACTCCAAATGTTTTTGGTTACAACAGAAACAGTTTGATTAGCATATTTAGGAGACTGGTGTTTAAAGTTGCAGTCATATGGCATCTCAAACAAAAAACACACTCTTAAGAATCACCAGTATTCATATTGTAAAATGGTTTTCAGAAAGTGTCCTTTGCCCTTCAGATACCATTGCAAATTATTTCATACTGTGACATACCTTAAAAAAACTGCTTCTAGCATTTTAAAAATTATATTTATATTATATTCTGTTGGTATATTATGAGTTGTTATATATTCTTCCTGTAAAAACAAACAAACTAGACTGCTACTGTGGGAGGAAGAGCCACTTAATAATGACATCCACTCACTCAGAAAATAACCTGTACATATTGGCACCAAGATGCTCAAGCCTCTTCATTATATTTAATTTGTCTGTGTGAAAAGATTCCAGACCATTGGCAATTTCTCCCCATTTTTATTTTAATACTATAAGAGCTGTAAACTGGGACTTGCTTAAATTGCTACTTATAACAATCAGTTGTTAACGTGCATGCTTTTGCACCAGTTTCTAAGAATGGAGTTACAGGTTCTGATAAGATTCTGCTTTCTTACAAAGAACCTTTCTGAAAAACACAAGTCTTATTCTTTTTAACATGTCCAACAGGCCCACATTTGCAAATCAATATTCCCAGTCCTGGGGTGTGTTCAGGATTGGCATGGAGCAGAACTCTACAAAAATGAGTGCTCCTGCATGAGGAAGAAAGACAGTATTCTCAGGGATCAAGTAAATCGTGTTTGCTCAATAGAGGCCAGTTCCCCCTTCATTCCTATAGCCCTCTGTCCACAAAAATCTGCTCCCAAGTATTGCAGCACCCTCTGTAACAGCTGAGGGCCTCATGGAAAAAGGCAAAAACTGCCACCTTCTGCCCATGGGAACATCCAGTTTGTGGAGCAGGATCCTCTGCTGGATCCAACTCACAAAAGTGAATGCAACAGCAGCTCTAGATCCAACTGCCTGTTTGCTTTGTAATGCTGATGTGGGGGCAGTATATGTTGGGGCAGTTGGTGATGTTGAATTCTTCCACCTGATTCTCCCCTGAAAATCTCCCTTGATCTTGCAGTTTTGCAAGGGAGGAAGGGTGTTATATAAATTGGATAGAAAAATAAATACTGAGCTGCGGCTCTCCTGTCTATATTAAAGTCTATAATCGGCACATGCAGAGAGTTTGCTAAATTCTACTTTCTGCATTGCACTACTGCATCCTGCCACAGGTGTTCTCATAGACCACGTAGAAATCATGTGCCCACAAATGCAGTATTTTATTTCAATAGTAAAGGGATAGCGTTGTTGGCACACAACTGAACGATACTGCCGCTGCATACACAGCAAAACACATTTGGTATTTCGGATTGGAATCTGTATTTAGGATTGAGGTGTCACTTGAGCCTTGCAAAGGCTCTGCTCTTTCATGTAGTATTCCAGAATTATTTTGATTCTTTACCAGTCTTGTCACAGTTCTTGGTATGGATCATGGGGATGTCTAATATTTAGAAGAGCATTTCTTAACAGTGCATTGTAAAAATAACACCTGCCTGCTTCCTTTGATTAAAAATACATTTATGTTACCCTTCCCAATAAAGTCCCCCCCCCCCAATTATGATTTATCCCTGTTTGCTCTCAGTTACAGTTATGTGGCTGGTGGGTGTATTTCTGCTGATTCTACTAATGTTATTAGTTAATACATTTTTGACAAATACAACTCTTTCAGATAAATGTTAACAACTTAATAACTTCTAAAGGTCACCTGAATTTTAATTGTAGCTTAGACATAATGAATATTCACTTCTCATTGACTGAAGCTATGGAGGCATTGTTAATCTTACAATGAGATTTCGTTTATTGGAAATTCATGAGGTGTTGAAAATATACCAGTTATAATCTGAACTTTCAAAATCAAGATCGTATAGTATGTTTGTTTTTTTTATCTTCAAAGGCATTATATTGTACTTCTAGCAAGTGCACCAACAGAAAAACAGCGACTAGAGTGGTGAGTACATGACCACTCCCTATGCCTCCTTCCCCTTTTAAAGTTAACATTTCATCTGGATCATTGTTCTTGCTTTTATTTTGATTATATGTTTTGTGTTTCTATATTGTGATTTTATCCTATGAACTGCCCTGAGACCTGTGGTCCTTAGGGCGGTATATAAATTTAAATAATATAATTAGTGCATATTCTAAGGATATGAAGATGTTTCAGGCTGCACAAGTCACTCTGAAGGAGCAGTTGGGTGCAGGACCACCTGTCTTAACACAGATGCTAATTAGAGCTATCAGGAACTCCTGCCTTAAAATACAATGGAACGGGAAGGGCTGAGCTTGATGAAGCGCTTTTTCTGATGAAGCGCTTTTTCTGAGTTACTCATAGTTCAGGCTAGCAATTAAGTGTTTTCTCAATCTAATCTGTGACTTGAAAGCCTTGCAAACCAGGGAATGAGGGAACGTGCCATGAAGGCCATGATATTTTCACTCTCTTTTTCTTGAATGCTATTTTACTGCAAAAAAGTATTATAAAACTTTTAAGTAGAGCAAATATTTTAGAATGATAATGCACCTTAGGGTTTGATTTGTAGCTCACTAGAAATGCAAAAGCTGTGTTATAGTTTACAGCCTTTGCTAAGCCACTGTTGAACCTTCTGCTACTGCACAGGCTTCCTTAAAATTAAGGGAGAATTAAGAGCTCAATGCCTATAACCTTAATTTAACTCCTTGATACCTGTGTATAGTATTGCATAGCTGTCAACTTTTCCCTTTCCTTGCTAGGAATCCTATTCGGAATAAGGGCATTTCCCTTAAAAAGGGGGCAATGTTGACAGCTATCGTATTGTAGTATTAGGATTATGGGGAAGAGTCTATGTTGCAGCATTTCCCCTCTTTTCTTTCTAGTATAAGCAGTTCATTCAGTTTTTAAGAGCACTTTTGGGGCTACAGTGCTACCTCGGGATGCGAACGGGATCCGTTCCGGAGTCCCGTTCGCATCCCAAAGTGAATGTAACCCGTGTGTGCGCGGGTCGCGTTTCGGCTCTTCCGCGCATGCGCGTGACGGCATTTTGAGCGTCTGCGCGTAGCGAAACCCGGAAGTAACGCACTCCGTTACTTCCGGGTCGCCGCGGAGCGCAACCCAAAAATATTCATCCCAAAGCGTATTTATCCCGAGGTATGACTGTATTCTGAGAATTCTCAGTTCTGCATGCCAAAGTGTTTAATATTAATGGGATGGCTTGCAGTGGGACGGGGGTCAAAATCCAGAAACAAATTGTAGGTGTTAAGTTTTATTTAGGAGTATAAAAGCAAAAAGGACAAAAGTTTACAGAAGGTCTTTTGATCCTTTTAACAGAATGAGAAAGAAGCATTTTTTGCCCATTCCCCCTACATCCTTTTTGCCACCTCCCACACTGTTTGAAGGGTTTCCCCAACCTCCTTCAGTTGTGAACGGAACTGTGTTCATGGCATCTCTGGATACTAACCCATAGTACACATAGTAAAAATTATTTCATTACATGTGTACTTACCTCCCAGTTTTTGTGTGTGTTTCCAGTACTAATTGAATTGGGGCTTTCTTTTCTCAACTAGGAAAAGAGTATCTTTACTTGCAATACTCAGTATTAACAAGTTTATTTTTATTCAGGGTTGGCTTGGTAGAGTCAAAGATCCGTATTTTGGTTGGAAGCTTGGAGAAGAATGAATTCATCACACTGGCTCATGTAAATCCTCAGTCATTCCCAGCACCCAAGGAAAATCCTGACAAGTAAGGCTCTTAATGAGACTGTTGGCAGAAACTTCTTACTGAAAGTGAAGGGGTGGGAATCAGGTTTACTGTTAGTATTGTCAAATGCTTTACCAAGATTTACATTTCTTTCTAATATAAAAACATCATTCGGAAGAGGAACTCTCTTGTTCTTTGTCAATACATACAGGAAATGGAAACCATTACTACCTCTCCTGTGTTACAAGTGCTGGTTTAGATCCAGAAATGTACTAGCAGAAAAAATGTATAATAGTTGTGCTGTTACATGAACTGTTGCACAAGAGCTAGCTTGAAGACACTAGCCACATTTGCCAATAATGGGAAACTAAACTTTCTAGGCCTTGTTTGCAGAAGGGCACCTCTGGTTCTGCCTTACTGTTATAGATCTGGCACCAGACAGTCCCAGCTGAAAACATTTATTGTCATCAAAACAGTCAAATGCTGTTGTGTTGTTTTTGGAGAGGCGTTGCTTGTTGCAAATTACTTAAGACCAAAATCAGTGGTGCAGTTTATGCATCAGAAAGGTAAAAATAATAAATGGGGGGGGGGTTGCATCACATTGAAGAAAATCACACTAATGAGCTGGAATTCTAATGTGGATCTAGAACTCAGATTGGCAAACTTGGCCTTCTATTTGAACATTACATTTAGCATATTCTCTTTTGTAAATCAGAAGTAGATCTATTATGACTTAAAGTGAAATATTCCTAAGACCATGACGTTTCTCAAGTTATTCAGGTTTTTTGTGACTGTATTATAGCATCCAATATGATTTTTTCTGTGGTTGGCCACTGAAGAGTAGCAGTAATTAATTAATACTAGTTGGAAATGGTTGGTTACTGAAAGGTGTATTTTTAGAATTTTCTGCTGTTTTCATTTGTGATGGTAGTTTTTACTTTATTTTTATTTTTTTGCAGGGAAGAGTTTCGTACAATGTGGGTGATTGGGTTAGTGTTTAAGAAAACTGAGAACTCTGAAAATCTGAGTGTTGATCTTACATATGACATTCAGTCTTTTACTGACACTGGTAAGCTTGACTCATGGAAATCGTTCTATCTCTAAAAATATGACAGCTAAGTTAATTGTGATTTGCCTTGGATCACAGATGTCCTTGCAGTTACTGACAACTGGTAGCAAAACATTTTCCTTCATAACAATAATTTCAACATTTGTTGGTATAAATAGTCTGATCCTGTGACCAGGGCCAGTAAGTAACCATTGTAGCAAAGTTGGTCTCGCCCTGTGCTGCAGCTTCCACAGTGGACCAGTTGTCTGTATCCCATCTGAATCATAGCATGCAAAATAGTCACATAGCAATATTAAAACTTGTTGGTTCTCTGTGATCATCATAGTGGCAGTTAGTGAGGTCTGAAAAGGCAGAATGCTCTCCACTTTTCGACACTGCAAAAAAGTGTTAACTTGCGAAGAAGCTTTTCTTTAAAAGATAGAAATGGAGAATTGTGAAGCAAAAAGAGACAATTAAGAGGCAGCCTGGATAGAAAGAGCTCTAAAGTTCAGGCTTCTCTTGAGAGAGATTCCACTTCTGAAGCATTGTTTATCATAGCAAGGCAGTACAGGAATTTCCATTCTTACACGAACATCCCTTTGTTAAGGTTCACTGACACTGAACTTACTTCTTTCCAACTTCCATATTGCATTGGAGTTATAGGAAGGTGTCATGTTTTCATAGTGGAACACTAGTCTCTCATCTTGCTGTTAATACCAACTCCCACTTCCAGTGCCAGTTTACACTGCAAACATGAATTCCCAAAGAGGAGTTTGCAGCTCCCCCACAGTCCTTATAGTTGCCAAACTAAGCCATGGTTTGTTCTTGGCTGCAACTTGTGGTTAGTGAGGAGAGATCGTAACCACAAGACCAAATTCAGACAACATGCCAAGCCAAACCTTGGCTTAGTGTGACAGTAAAAAGGTCTGGCAGGGAGTAGCAAAGTGGCTAAGAGCAGCTCTTTGGGAGTGTTCTTCTTTGCACTGCCTTGCTAAGCCATAAGTTGTTGGATCAGGCCCATAATTTTGCAGAAAAAAATGTGTTTATGATGATTTTGTATTGCATAAAGCCCTTGTGAAATGCTGCTGCAGAGAATTTCAGGTGATATTCAGGGCCAGGTTTTCGGGGGACCAGAGAGGGGGCTTAGAAAGAGCAGGGGGAGCTGCAATGTGTCCTGTGACTTGGTGGTGCTAAGAGGGGAAAACAGATTTGCAGGAGCAACCACATTGCTAGTAGCAGTGTTGACGTTTAAAGAAGGCAAGAAGGAAGAGAGGCTTCATGCAACTTTTCTGCAGAATTACTTACACCACCTTGGCTATTATCTCTGTTCCCCCAGTTGTGATTGGGTAGGTGCAGCTTTTTGAACCTGAACTATGAGCTACAGCAAAATCCTGTTAACTTGCCTTAGCGTCTGAGCAATGTGACCCTGCCTACAGCCAAGAGGAGGTGCTATACAAGATGTAACAACTCTTTTTCTTTGCCACCTTGGGAGAAACTTTGAGGCAAAAATAGTAAAAATCACATAATGCCTTTTGAAAAGTTAGGAGAAAGGCATTTGGCATGATGATGCGGCACTGTGCATATTCCTTTTTCTCAGGATTGAAGAAAGTACCGTTTTTCATTCCAAAAGCAGAATTCTCAGGAATGCAAATTTCTTTCAGGGCAGGCAAGTAATGGGCTTTCTCCAACTGTAAAACATCTTAATGGTCTTCTCGTTATATAGTTTATAGGCAAGCAATAAACAGCAAGATGTTTGAGATGGAAATGAAAATTGCTGCAATGCATGTTAAAAGGAAGCAACTTCATCAATTGCTACCTAGTCATGTGCTTCAGAAAAAGAAAAAGGTAAAGCTTCAAATGAACTGGCAAATATATGTGTGTATACTCTTAATACAAGCATATTCTAGTATCCCAGATTTCTGATGATACTAACTTGTCATAAAATATTTGTAGTCATAATTATAGGATGCCCAAATTCTCTGTAGGCAACCCACTCTTGTCTTCTCTGACATGATTCTGGGATTATCTTTGACTTGTAGTTTGGGTGGTAACTGCTCAGAATTCCTGAAGCATTTCAAGTTAGTGAAACTTGCTCATTTTTAACAGTGGACAAGGATTAAAAGGAACAATGTTAAAAAAAATCCTCAGAGGCATTCGCAGAGATACTGCTTTGACATCTGTCAACAGTGATTTCAGCCTTATGCAGCAATTCTCAGACTTGCTGTAGCAGGTCTGTTGAACTTGTGAGAAAATGAAGTTACCCCAAGTACCGTATTTTTCGCTCTATAGGATGCACTTTCCCCCCTCCAAAAATGAAGGGGAAATGTGTGTGCGTCCTATGGAGTGAATGCAGGCTTTCGCTGAAGCCTGGAGAGCAAGAGGGGTCGGTGCGCACCGACCCCTCTCACTCTCCAGGCTTCATGCAGCTATCTGCAAGCCTTCAGAGCGCAGCGGGAGTTCCCGCTGCGCTCGGAAGGCTTGCGGATAGCTGCCTGTTCTGGGGACTGGGGTCGGGGGAAGCTCGGGCTTCCCAGTCCCGCAAGCTCCGGGAGCAGCGGGGAGGTTGCGTGCAATCTTGCCGCCGCTCCTGGACCTGGGGGGGGATAAATTCCCCCCCTTTATTTCCCCCCTTAAAAACTAGGTGCGCCCTATGGTCCGGTGCATCATATGGAGCAAAAAATACGGTATTTATTTTTTTTAAGTACCAGCTCATCTGGAATACCCTTTCACATAAAGTCCAGAGATGGGCATTGCATAAGAAAAGGCAAAGAGGAGGGATCACTGACTTCCTGCAAAGTTGGGTGTACGGAAGCATCTGTGTCCCTATTCAAATGTTGCTTATGGAGCAATCTCAACTTTGTAATAAGACACTTGGTCTTTTCTACTCCCCCTCATAGTGATAAGAAAGCAGCATCTGATCCAGTTTGTGCAATGTTGCTTGCTTGCTTTTTGGCCCCCCAAAAAGGTCAGTTTTAGGAAATAATGGAGAATTTTCTGATGTGGTGTCAGTTAGACATGCCTCACTCAAGCCCACATCAGGCATTACTCTTGTCAGTGAGGGGAAGGATTTGCACATGTACAAAGCTTTCGTGTTGATAAATAGGAGAGAGTGAATTAAAGATAACAGGCATGGTATGAGCAGACTTCTCTTTCTCTGTAACCCATCCCCTTCCCAAATCTGCCCTGGAGGATCTCCCACTTCCAGGGCAGATTTTGGCAGTGCGGGGGGAATTCCTTCTGCACCATCGTAAGTCTGTCCTGATGACAGGTGGCCATATAGGATGTCACTATTTTTCTGCCAAATGACAGTAGACTTTCTTACTGCTCCTGAATAGCATTTTGTGATTTATGGTCTCACCGATTTCAGCATTCGACAGAAGGGGTCAAGTTGACAGCGCTGAACGACAGCAGCCTAGACTTATCTATGGATAGTGATAACAGCACATCTGTGCCTTCTCCTACTAGTGCTATGAAGACAAGTCCATTGAACAGTTCTGGAAGCTCTCAGGGGTAAGAATTCGGCTATCTGATGACAACATTCTCTAAACCACATTTATCTCAAAGTAAAAGGAAACAAATGTTTGCTGGGTTTGTTTTTCTTGTCTCGGCACATTTCCACATAGGGGTTCTGCATCTATGCAGAACATCCATCCCTACCTACTTTCAAGGTGTACTAATTAAGCATCATTGCTCCTTCTTCCCATGCCATAGTGCTTTTACAAGAACTTCCTGGTGCTAGAGTAGTATTTTATTCAGACAAAAGCAAGCATTATTTCTCTTTATGTTTTGTCTCCTATCATTGATGGCCTGTCTCTTCTAACACTCTGTGCGGAATTGCCAATGAGGGTGTTGCTTTCCAAGTTGATGGCTTTCTGATGGATTGAAACTTATAGGCTGATAATTGTGATTTGAGCACGTACAGATTGTGGCCCACCAAGCTGAATGCAGCCCCTCAGCCATGTATTCTGGCTTGCCAGGTTCAGCTATCCTGTTTGTACACCCCTAGGGAGTTAGTAATTCCAGGAGGCTTATCAAGCCTCTCTAGATGCTGGTGAACTATTTGACTTGGTGAGTTGCAAGTTGTGTGGGCTTGCTTTAATTCATGAATGTGTTGTGTTTTTTCAAAAAAATTATTTTAGCAGAAGCAGTCCTCCTCCAGCTGTGACGGCAGCATCTGTGACCAACATACAGGCTTCTGAAGTCACTGTGCCACAAACAAATTCCAGTGAAAGCTCAGGGGGTAGGAACATAATAATATTATGCAAATACTACCTTTCTAAGTTGGTTGTCCATTAAGTCATTTTCTTCTCTCTTTAAAATTGTTGGTGATTTGCCACTTGGCAGAAACATATTTGCAGTACAAATATTGTCATATACTTTGCAACTTGTATTGTGAAATTACATGCTGATAAAGCAGCCAAAATGCAAACAGCAGAATTACTTTTGGAAATTCAGAATCTTTTAAAATGCTCTTTGTGCTCTTCACAATATGGTTACACAATGATTGCACTGCAGCTAAGCGGCATTGTTCCTCTGACAAAATCGAAGTTATTTCCCAGCTTTATTGTCCTTGTCACCCACCCTAAAATATTTGGCAATATGGAAACAGAAAATCTTAACCTGCCCTAGAGTGTGCATGTAATAAAACATGTGAATAATAATCCATTATTTAACCAGTTGTCAGTATCTTAATGCTAGGGAATGTGATACGATGGTTGTCTTCTCTAGATAATAACATAAACAAAGTTACACTTTTGCTAATGTCAGGTCATCAATATTAGGAATTCTCTGTCATGGCATTGAAGCGCTTCCAAGGAGCCCCAGATTTGAAACTCAGCATAAATACTGTGAATTATAAATTCAATGTATTGCATGCCTTCAGATGGCAGTATTTCCTGCTGTGGAGCTCTGAGCACTGAAAAACAGAACTCATGGCCGTTGAGCCTTCAGTCATTGCTTAAAGCTCAGTAACAACAAGGTTTAGAACCTTTTTAATGCAATACCAGATTTCCCAAGGGCAAGATTAAGTACTGAAACCCATGTTTTGTAGTATGATGTATTACATAAACGCTTGATTCCTCCACCCCACCAAGTAGCCATTTAATGTTCGTGTTGAATGCAGTTTGACCTTGAAAACTGAAATGTCTTTGAGCAGAGCTGTACATACGTTGTGATTCTGTGGGAGTGCAAAAGAAGTATAAAGTGTTGATTCCTGAGAAACTGGGCTCTTTTTTGTTTTTAAAGAGAACTGGTAGCCTTTTGAGACATAAATATATGTTTTAAAGTGTGCGAACAATGCTTGTTGAACTCTCAGGTGCCAGAGAGGTGTGTTGAATAAGTTTATCAGTGATTGAGGATGGCCCATAGTGTCCCTCAGCCACATGATTTGGAAAGCTGGAATAAATTGTATAAAATTGCAAATTTGGGATAACAAATAACATACAATATGAAAACACTGGAGATTTGCACCATTTGAGAAAATTATCCAGGCCACAAAATTCCTCAGTGTAGGACTTGGATTGCTTAGGCACAGAACTCTTGATTTATTTATTTTTAGTTCTAAATGTACAGCCTTGCTCGTGGGATTACATGCTGAATATTTGATTTCATGGTAATCGTTCCAATATATTTCCCAAGGTTCTTCAAGTGAAAGCATTCCTCAGACTGCCACACAGCCAGCCATCTCTCCACCACCAAAGCCTACCATCTCTAGAGTAGTTTCTTCAACCCGTCTTGTCAACCAACCACAGAGACCTTCAGGAAACGCCACACCGAAAGTAACTAGCCCTGTAGCAGGTGTGAAGAGGACATCATCCCCTCATAAAGAAGAGTCTCCCAAAAAAATAAAGACTGAAGAGGTAATTTTATTTACTATTGATTTGAGTTTTTTTGTGTATGCTGCCAGGAAGTGGTACCAGAACTATAGGATTAATTCCTCAGTCCTGGGAACAGAGTTTTTAAATAGGTGGTGAATTCATTGATTTCCTATGACAGCCAATGAGATTTCTTTGAACAATTCAATACAAGTGAAAATAACATCAGGAATTAGCATGCAATGCAAGCAAAAGGTTTTACACAGTTCAGCCTTCTCACTACAAGTTGCTTTTTCCAGTTATTTTAGACATCCTGTGGAAGATTCCTAGGTGATTCCAGAGTTAGCAGGGTTAGTGAGAGGGATGTATGTGTTATCTGCACACAACATGTTTTGGGAGATACCCATGTAGCAAAAGTTGCTCCTGGTTCCAGTCAACACACAGCTTAAGGTCTGAATAGTTTCATCTCTTGCTGAGATGAAAGAACTTGCTTGGCTTTAGTCTGGATTTAGGGCAGGGGTGGGGAACCTTTTGGGTGGCAGATCCTAATCAGGACCAGCCTTGCAGGCTGAATCCTACAGGTGTGTGGGATCATGTACCTGTCACTCGAATGCCATCATTAAGATGCTGAATGATTGACAGCGGCGGGGCTGCCCATCTGTCAAAATCCTTCTTTGCAAGCCTTCCCTTTGTGAAACGTTGCTACCAACTATTTTCCTTCAGCATATTGTTCTTGGACTCCAACGAAATATTTGAATCTACTTGTGTTCAATTCATTCTCAATATGTAAAGCTACCGTATTTTTCTCTCTATAGGACGCACTTTTTCCCCTTAAAAAATGAAGGGGAAATGTGTGTGCGTCCTATGGAGCGAAGACGCCATAGCCCCGCGACCCTCTCCAGCCGGGAGAGCGTGCGCGGGGCAAAAGAAGCCCCCCGCGACCCTCTCCAGCTGGGAGAGCGCGTGCGGATAGCCCCGCGCCCCTCTCCCAGCTGGAGAGGTGACGCCACGACTATGGCAGCAGCCTCTCCGCTGCGCCTTTCTGCTGCTCCCTGACCTGCTCTTTGGGGCTGGTGGTGGGCTTCCTTTCAGGTCGAAAGGAACCTGAAGCCTGGATAGTGAGAGGGGTCGGTGCACCCCGACCCCTCTTGCTCTCCAGGCTTCCAAGGTAGCCGCCTGAACGCACCTTAAACGGCACCTTGTTTTAGAGCAGGAAAACAAGAGGGGGAAATTCTCCCCCTCTCTGCGCAGCGCCTCCTGTCGCTTCACTGAAGGGGCGCTGGGCAGAGTGGGGGAGAATTTTTTTTTCTTGTTCTCCCCCCTCTAAAACAAGGTGCGTCCTATTGTCCGGTGCGTCCTATGGTGCGAAAATACGGTATATTTTGACAAAGTTCAAGTCAGCAGTGGAATAAGGTTGGCAGAGGGGTACTTTACTGCCACCAGCTGTTCTCGGGAAGCCTCTCCCAAGAGTCAGAGGGTGCACACTGGCACAGGGAGCAGTGAGAGATCAGAGAAAAATCAGACGAAGGCACTTCCCACAGCTTAGTTTATGGAGAGCGCTTCTCCCAGATTTTTATCAGTTAACACCAGAAATACTTTCCATCCGATTCAGGGAATCCACATCCTTGTGCCTTGGGAGAGGCTTTTCAGGAGGAGGGGACAGGAAAGTTGCCTCCCATTCATCCTCTTCAGTTGACATTCCTCTAATTCCAACCGTCATCTTGCATCATGGCCTGCTGTCCTTTTTAAGATTTTAATTTTTGTTCTGTTTTGTGACAGGAGGAAGTGAATGAAGATGCTAGCTGTCTTGATACAAGTGATCACGATAAAACAGAAACTAAGGTAAACTTCTCATACAACTGTAGTACAGTGGTACCTTGGTTTACGAACTTAATCCGTTCTGGAAGTCTGTTCTTAAACCAAAGCGTTTTTCAATCAAGCCGTGCTTTCCCATAGCAGCGGGGGACTCAAATTACACTCAACAGGAAGTGGAACATGTTCTGCTCCTAAGGCAAGGTTCACAAAGCAAGATACCTACTTCTGGGTTCTCAGCGTTCTGAATCCAAGTTGTTCATAAACTAAGCTGTTCTTAAACCAAGGTACCACTGTACTCTGATTCCCACAGCTTCTGAAACATGATGCTTGTACGTTCAAGTTTTTGGATTACTTTGTTTTCTTGTTCCTCATGGAGATACTTCGCATAATGCAGAGAGGCATATGTGAGAAAAAAGATTGGTTTGGGAGCAAAAAAATAGGCTTGAAATTGCATTGATAAATCCATGTTTACTTTGAAAACAGCAGCTAAAAATTAGCATTTTCCATTTCTGACAGCTTCAGCATATTAAGAACAAAAGATACCTGCTAGATGAGATCAAAGATCCATCCAGTCCACTATAGCCAATCAAATGCAACAACAGAATTACAATTCATCAATCACTTAAGTGGCATCACATCTAGGTTAAACTGAGACAAAAGATTTTTATCACATTACATGTGTTAATTAGCTTACCAATGCCATGGTTCCTGTGCTATCTCTGACTGTTTCTTACAAATGGTTCCCTCCCCCTCCAGGTATTAATACAGTCATCTCAGCAATTATCACCAATCTTGTGCTGTTAAAGGTGTGCCTGTTTAATATAAATTTAAGCTGTAATCATTTTTGTCATCCAACTCCCACCGTACAATTTTCTTCTTTATATACCTGCCAACTAAGATTTCACTTCATGCATCTGTCAATGTGAAATCTTGTGCCATGATAATTTTGTTGGTCATTAAGATGCAACGAGACTCTCTTGATTGTTTGGAGCACCTGTGTTGTGTAGATACTGACATTTTACTGCTGAATATTTGCCTGTTGTTTTGCACTTGGCCAGCAATAGGTTGTTGAACCTAATCCGGGAAGACCTCTAAGAGGCAGGAGTTTACAGTACTTACCCCAGAATGCTTAAAATAGGTGGTATGGAAAAATTTCAGGAATAGTGTGTAACTATTTCTATCCTCCTTGACATTAATAGCTCATATAGTGGTACCTCGGGTTAAGAACTTAATTCGTTCCAGAGGTCCGTTCTTAACCTGAAACTATTCTTAACCTAAGGTACCACTTTAGCTAATGGGGCCTGCTGCGCCGCCAGCACGCGATTTCTGTTCTCATCCTGGGGCAAAGTTCTTAGCTCGAAGTACTACTTCTGGGTTAGCGGAGTCTGTAACCCGAAGTGTTTGTAACCCGAGGTACCACTGCATTGCCATTTTCAAAGGCGCCATCCTCCCCACACACAGTGCCAGGGAATATGAGAGAATCGCTGTTTTCCCCTTCACCCTGCAGATTAAACAGGGAGAAATAGCAGTGTATAAACAGGACATGGGGTAAAATACGTTACCACAGCAGTAAGTGTAGGGGGGAAATACTATTACTTCCAAACTTAGGTTTCAGCATGCTCTGCATTTTAAGTGAATAATAGAATCGTAGAGTTGGAAGATACCCCTAGGGTCATGTAGTCCAACTACTTGCAATGCAGGAATCTGAAATAAAAAATCTGTTATAGACGGCCCTCCAACTTCTGCTTAAAAGCCTCTAATGAAGGAGGGTGCTTGTGGAAGATGCTGCAGCACCATTGTTATTATTATAAAGGTAAAGGGACCCCTGACCCCGACTCTGGGGTTGCGACGCTCATCTCACTTTATTGGCCAAGGGAGCCGGCGTACAGCTTCCGCGTCATGTGACCAGCATGACTAAGCTGCTTTTGGCGCACAGAAACGCCGTTTACCTTCCCGCCGGAGCGATACCTATTTATTTACTTGCACTTTGACGTGTGTTCGAACTGCTAGGTTGGCAGGAGCAGGGACTGAGCAACGGGAGCTCACCCCATCGTAGGGATTCGAACCACCGACCTTCTGATCGGCAAGTCCTAGGCTCTGTGGTTTAACCCACAGCGCCACCCACTGTGTGATAATTAAGCTGTGCTATAGCATCAACTCTTAAACGTCTGGTGCTAAAGTTATGTTGGATCTTGCTCATACCATTTTTGTTTCTGCCTTTTCAGGAAGCACTTGATACAGATTCAGAGATGGCCTCTCAACCAGAAACCCTTCCAACAACAGTATCACTGCAAGCTCCTCAGGTACTCGAGTTTCGTTTCATAGTAATAAATCGCACAAGGCACCAATAACTCCATGATAGGTAGAGTTTTGGGGATGCTACAAGTGGTCCAGAGACCTCTTCCACACAGCCATGGATGAGAAGCTGTTGTTTGCTATCTTCCTGGATAGCTCAGTTGGTAGAGCACGAGACTCTTAATCTCAGGGTCATGAGTTCAAGCAGAAGATTCCTGCATTGCAGGGGATTCGACTAGATGACCCTCATGGTCCCTTCCAACCCTACAGTTCTATGACTCCACCTGCAGGCATTCATGCATTCCCCAGAGCATGTCACTTGATTTCTCAAGCCTTTGTAGACAACCTAGCAGAAAGGTAGATTGACTGTATTTCTTACTGTGCCAGGATCCCCTGCCCACCCAAATGGCAAAGAGAGGAAGGGTGAAGGACCACGAGTTTAAGACCCAGACATTGACTTATGTAAATTTTATGTAATCCTCCTTATTTTCATTACCTACAAGGCCAAAATAAAGAGGTTGGGTGTATTGCATGACTGAAACCATTATGGCAGGGGGAGAATTTAATAATGCAACACACTTGGCATTGTTGGACATGTTCCTAATTCCATTTGTGCTTGAAATTATGTGTCCTAACACTTTTTTCTCACTTTTCCACTCCATCAGAAAATGCCCAGTACAGACCTTTCAGATATTCCTGCTCTCCCTGCAAACCCTATTCCGGTTATCAAAAATTCAATAAAACTAAGATTGAATCGATAAAACCAACCTCAGGGGTCCATAAACAGTATCTGCCAATTCAACCTATTGTCTTCTAAATGCTGAAATGGAGAACCGAGAGTGCAAGACGAGAATGTGAATGCAGATGGATTTAGGTGTGTTTTCTGCACTTCCCTTGCTGGGCTATAATCACTTGATCTGGAAGTCCAGGTTAGTATGTGAAGTCAGGAGTACTATTAAATGTGTTAGCAACAGTTTTACATTGAATACTTCAAAGGATTACTGCCTTTCAAAAGGAACGGGAATACTATTTCTAGCCATATTTGACACTGATTGGATTTATGTTGATGCATTGTTTGGAACACACATACACAAAAATAGAGCTTAAACTGGCAAAAGAATCCCTTAAAATGCACTTTTATGTACTTTTTTATTGAAATATGACTAATTTTAGCGTTTCGGCTTGATAGGTTTTTTTTATTTTTTTATTGGAGATATTCTTCAATATCTGCAACCTTCAAATTAGAGAATGGTCTGATACATTGTGTACTGCAGTATGCGCTGTATCTAGCTCTGTTACCAATAACCCAGAGTAAAACTTTAAAAGAAAATGTCAAATCTTGAGGTTATAAGTTTGAGAAAACAAGTATTGGGTATTTGGCGGGGCATGATTAAGAAGTGGTCTATTTTTTATTTATAGGATTATTTTATGGTGCATACAAATCAGCTATCAAAAAGCAAATAATTTTTCATTCAGCTAATCAGATCCCCTCCCATTCCCTTCCTGTAGCTGTCATCATATTTCTTGGAGGGGGGGAGAAAAGCTTTTGCATTTAACTTGTGTTTCAGTTTGTATGCCTAAATTTGGACTAATGTCGTCCGTCAAATGCTGGTATTTCTTTTAACTGGTCATGATGGTGGTTACAAAAGCTCTATTACTCTGTGGCCCTTCAGGCACGAGTGCCACGCCCCCCCCCCCCCCCGCCCCATGACTGAAATGGAGTAAATAAAGTGTGCCTGTGAAGCATTTAACTCTGTCTTGATGGCCTTTTCATCACTAAATATAAGAGTTTTGTACACTCCATAAAAGTCCTGTCTGCATTACAAACATCTCAAATTTTAAATATATATATATATATGAAGGCAGATCTTTCTTACCCTATAGGATTTTAAGTTTATTTTATTTTATTTTTAGGTAGCTCACCTGAAAGTAGTTTTTACATTCTGAGCGTTTTCTTTTAAATCACAATTCTAGCAGACACTTGAAAACCTGATTAGCTCTCCTTGCCCAGTTGTCTTCGTTTTGTTCTGTAGAGCTAAAAAAATGACTAGCGGCAACTTTGTTTAAAGAGGTATGAAAATCTCACGTGACTAAGCAGCAGAAAGTGAGGAATGCCAGTGATTATCAGATGGAGATAACAAGCTATATATAACTTTTGATTCAATCAAAATTAAGTGGGGATGGTTAAATTGCTCTTCCCATATTTTCTGATCAGCATGTTTAATGACTTCCTTCCCTGCATTGTGCTCAATCCTCCTACATGTGCATTTCCATGTTAAAGTAAAATTACTTGCTCTTCCCCTCCCCCCCCATAAGTTAATTTTCCAAAGCCAAGAGATTGCAGCTTACTCTCCCGACCTCCCCAGTTGTGCAGTAACCAAGATTTTATTTTCTGCCCTTTTGTCTACGATGCTTAGTATACAAAATTCTTGCCCTCGCCCTGTACAGCCTCCTGTGACCCAACCTTCGCTCCCGTAATATTACCTTGCACCCTCCCTCTCCCCCAGGACCCAGTCCAAAAGGTTTAACTAACAGTTGAAGTGTACAAACTGTCTGTGTATTTTGTGTAGCTATGGAGTTTAGATCGAACTTGCCAGGCACAAATTTAGTCTCGTTTTGTTTACACATGAGGATTTTATTTTATTTTTTCATTTTATTAAACGTTTCATGTATCTGCACCCAAGTTTTGCCAAGCTGGGAACTTGGAATCTTTTCTGTATAGTGACTTTTTAATTCTAGTTTTCATAACCTGGAGATCAGACTGTTGCTTTCGCATGATGTACGTAGGTGTCTCATGACTGGAGTTGCTTTGTTTTATAGTATCTGTACTCCTTGTATTTTTCAAGAGCTATTTTGTAAACAGATGATGTATTTCTCCATGGAAAACAATAAAAAAACAGCACAATCCCACCGTGGCTTGGTTTCTTTCGAACGTGTAAAATAGTGGTGTCTCAAAATGGTCAAATTGACTTAATTGTCTCTTGCTAGTTGGAAAACTATGTGAAAAGAACGATGCCGAGAAAAGTATTCAGTAAATAGAAGCTGGTTTTAAAACCATCAATTAACAGTGTGCTCAGTTTGAGTCTGTTAAAAGGGGGGGAGTAAATTGCTATTTTCCGGCCTACTTTGTTTTTCAAAAGACAAACAATAGGGTACTTATTACATATTATCACATAGTGTCCAACTTAACCTTGCATGGTAGAGTAGGGGGAAAGCACATGAATACAAACAATTGAAGGGGGGGATTTAATTTTAAGCTTGAAGAAGCTTCTTTTTTTTTGTATTTGAACCAATCAGTAATGTGGCTTTTTAAGTACATAGCTCTGTGTTAATTGCTCTATTACCAGCAGATGGCAGTGTTTTCTTTGGTTTCAGTGGTTCAAAACTCAAAATGATAACAAAGAACTGCTACAAACAGTGCCTCGCTTAACTTAAATTGCCCATTGGCCTCTAGACCAGAATAAAACAGGTGATTTTTTTTTTAATTGTTGTGCAATCTCTTTAAGTAACAAGCTGTGTTAATGTAAGCCTCAAACAGTATTTCATTGAAATATCCCATCAACTGTCTGGTTGCACCTGAAATTAGCTGGCCATTCTTGGGTCAATTTATAAAAGCTGCACAGAACCGAGTTGCCCTGTTCCAGGATTTCCCCCAAATTTAGCTCTTTTGTGCAGCATCAGAAGCTACACGGGAGTGTCTCTGAAAGCTGGGTGAATGGGAGTTGAGATTGATCGCCTTGAGAAACCTATGAACACAGTTGCACAAGAAAGCACCGCCTGTAGTTCTTTGTATCTGATTAAATTTTGATTTTAAATATATTTATTTAGGGGAACTACCAAGTTCCAGTGCATTTTCATTTACTCCTGACTAGTACCATTTGCACATCTCATCTTTTACACTGGGTGTATATATTTTAAAACACATACCTCTCTTGTAAGTGCACATTTGGAGAGTTTATATGTGTAAAAACCTCCAAAAACCGAATGGCCTTGAAGCATGCTTCTTTCTTGGCTTTCTTACCAAATCAGGCAAATTATTCAAAGATTTAAAGTCACTCTGTTCTTCCGGTTATAGAATACCTCCTCTATTAACAATTATTTTAGTTTTGCTTTAATCATCTTTAAAGCATTAGTTTGGTATTCAGCAGAAACAACATTATCACAAGTTTGTTGATTGAAGCAGATGCAATTTGAGAAGGTTCAAACTAGCATTTGAAATCTATACGCATCAAACATCTGTCACTATCATCACCAAAAGAATAGTGCCAACTTTGATATCAAACTTCAGAGTCTATGCCTTGTTATAAAAAGATAACACAGTGAACCACTGCTGGATGTCCCATCTGTTTTGGTTGATATTTAAACCCTTAATGACTTTTAAATGAAGTTTAGGCATGTCAGTTTGTTGATACTAAATTCCGCCATGTTTGGTGCTCACACTTAGATGAAGGTTAGGTCGTGGCAGAGCTGGCTGCTTTCCTTTTTCTATCCGTGCATCATACTATCCAAGCACTCAGTACTACAGGGAAATGATTTTAATTTGCTTTTAAGTACATTAGGAATTCCCTGTCTGTTTCAATAAATATATAACAAAATGAACTTTAAAGGCAAAGTGAGGAGAAGCTGAATTCAAGTAAAATTGTTTTGTGACGGATGCAAAAGCTGCGCATTAATTAGTCTGTGGAGACATAACATCTAGCAAATTGCTGTTCAAAAAAAAAAATGAAAGAATTTGTACCGGGAGAAGAGTTTTTAGCTATAATTAGGAAAGAGAAAAATTAAGGAATGGTAAAGATGTGGAACTTTACACCACGTACACTTTGCAAACAGATATTAAAGGGCTGATGGAAGGGGAGAGGTCAAAAGGGGTATTTAGGCAGTTTACTAACTAAATGTAGCTTCTTGCCAGTGCATCTGTGCACATACATCCAGAGATGTAGCTGGGGTGGTGGCGGTGCAGAGTTGTGGCCCCTTCCAACTTTGCATTTATGAATCCGGGAGTAGGGAGTAAATGGGTAGCAAAACAGCCCAACTGCCCTCCTCTATTTTGTACTAACCGCTCTACAGTAGCAGCATGACACAGTCATTCATTTCAGCCTATGGAAAGCGTTACAGCAGCAACTTGAGGTTGGAAGGAAAGTTTTTCTAACACAACAGTGCTGTGATAATGTTTTACCAGGGCTGCTCTGCTGGGGCTGGGCGATATATCATCCCAAACCAGTCCATATCATGAAATTGGTTTGATAATTTTTGACCTGGCAATATATCGCAAATTGGGGTGGGTTGTGTGTGTGCTATGCAAAGATCACAATGTGTGAAAAACTGTGAAGCCAGCCAGTGTTTCTCCCGATTCCTGCAGCGCCTGTTAACTGCCAGCTCAGCTCTCCGCTGCCTCCTGCAACAGGCAGCAAATCACAAGAGCAGGCACTGGCAAAAATCACGATGCAAGAAAAACCGTGAAGCCAGCCAATGCCTCTACATAGCTCCATCCTTATTCTAGATATCGTGTTATATTGCAATGTTTAGCTGGTGATATATTGCGATGTTGAAAAAAAGACATCGCCCAGCTCTATTTGCCACAAAGTTGATCTGCTGAAGGTTTGGGTGGTCACGAATCCCACCCTCTTGCAGGTCTAGAAGAAAATAACACCCTTTCTCAAGTTGGGGTGATGGTGTGGGCCAGCCTAGAAATCTGCCAGAAAGCTATACTATACACGCATGTAAAAGTGCTACGGTAATTGGCCCAGTTACAAATGACTTGCATATATCTGGTAAAAGGCAGTTTGGGAAACAATGTGCTTGGACATACGACTGCCTTTCTGTGTTGGGGGCGGGGGGAACCACTGGCCTGCAAATTTACATTTGCAAAAGCAAAGACAAAAGTATTGCCATGGTTGGGTCAAAAAGTGCTCTTCATTGCTTATAGGTCAGGTCTTGTTTTTGCTCTCTTATCCTTACTATGCTCTACCCATTGGGTTCTGGAATAATGCACACTTCCTGGAGACTTTGGCAAGAGCCTTGATAAACTTTGCATTCTGTCTGCAGCAAAGTTGTTAGTTAAGAGACTGATGATGAATTTGTCTGAAAGAGACAGTTTGGACGGGCTGTTAGTTCCCCACGAGTGGAGAGAGAGAGAGAGGCCACGTTTTGTTATCACTGGCAAGAGAAGACCCGGCAGAGAAATGTCCCTGCTTAGACATGGTGTCAAGGTTGCAGCCTTTAGTGGATCCATGGTATTATTAATAATCGTGCCTTTTGCTGTTTTCGGCACTCCCTTTTAATCTGAGATAGCTCTCCCACTCAGTTTATTATTAGCTGCTTCCACATATTGGACAAAAAGTTTCAATTCTAGAGGTTAACAGACCCACATACTTTCTGTTTACTATTAGAGTTGTAGCAATCTTTTGGTTGATGTCTTGTTTTATGGGAAAATGCATTCTTTTCAATTAATGAAGTTTGGATGTAATAAGTTTTTGGTCCAGACTATTGGAGAAGAAACTTGAAACAGCTTTTAAAAATACCTTTTGTTGCTTTCCATAGGAGATCTTTAAGGGCTAACCCCCCCCCCCAAAAAAAGCACCTTTTGAGAAACTCAGGCTAGCTTTCCAATTCAAGAAGCAGATTTAAATTGTGTTTCTAAATACATTTGCAAATTACATCAGTGGCAGGCACCTTGAAGAGAAGGACTTCCTTCTGACAGAGTGCATACTTTTGACATGTGCAACATCTAAAACAAAAACATTTTTTTGTCTTGACTGATTGATATTGTGGGGGGAATTTTGCTTGCTTTTGAAAACGCCTGCAGACAAAAATCTCTCCAAGTAGCTAATGGGTTTAAATCAGGGGTGGTGAACCTGTGGCTCACCAGATGATTTGAGCTACGATTCCTTAACCCCCCCCCCCCCCGCTTGGCCATTGGCCATGCTGCCTGGGCCTGATGGGAGCTGGGCGTCCAGCAACAGGGAGGGCCACCCAGGTTCCCCACCCCTGATTTGAAAGAACAGGGATATAGCTCAGTCCAGGAGAGCATGGGACTGTTAATTAATCTCAGGGTTGTGGGTTCGAGACCACATTGGGCAAAAGATTCCTGCATTGCGGTGGGTTGTACCAGATGACCCTCTTGGTACCTTGGAACTACAATTTTATGATTCTATGAGATATGCAGGTTAAAAGGCAGCACAGGTGTATTGACCAAGTTGAAATCATTTGCACCAGGGGTTAGGAATCTGGGTTCCCAATTCCCATTATTATTATTTTATTGATCACATTTGTAGCGCTCGTTTCGACAGCACATATACTAAAAATTGGAACAATACAGAGAAGGTTAGCATTTATTAAATTTGTTTACTGCCCTTCATCTGTAGATGTTAGGGTGGTTCACAGCATAAGAATACAAAATAAAAACACAAAATTCACAATAAAATTATCAAAACAAGCCAATAACCCCCTGCACCCCTCCCACAAACACATTTTAATTAGCCAAAGGCCTGGTTGAAGAGGAACATTTTTGCCTGGCACATAAAGGTATATACTGAAGGTGCCAGCTGAACCTCATTGCAGAGAGCATTTCACAAACGGTGAGCCACTGCAGAAAAGGCCTGTTCTTGTGTTGCCACTCTCCAGACTTCTCATGGAGGAGGCACACGAAGAACGCCCTTAGAAGATGAACACAGAGATCTGGTAAGTTCATATGGGGAGAGGCAGTCCTTGAAGTATTGCGGCTCTGACCCGTTTAAGGCTTTATAGGTCAAAACCAGCACTTTGAATTGGGCAGCCAATGCAGTGCATCTCCAGCCAGCATGCCCAATGGTCACAACATCTGGAAATGAACAGGTTCCTCACCACTGAGGTAAGTCGTGAATTTTCAAAGATGCATACGCCAGGGCATTGTAATACATATTTACATTTTT